GGACATTTTTTTCGATAATGAATTTTTTGTTATATGTTGCAGTTATTAAGTCTAATCGTATCTCTTAAATAGTTCTGCAGTTACATAAATGAAACTATATAATTTATTTTTTATTTGATTTTATTAATTTTTTAATAATTTACTTTTTTCCAGATGATATTATGTTTGTCGATATTAGTTTGGTATATATGAGTGAATTGCGCTGAGATTGTACGGTTGTTCTGCGAACACGAAAAATCTTATAACTCCACTTCCAGTCCATCGATTTGGACAATTTTTTTTTTGAAATGCTCCATTCATTCCATCCTACTTACCGTAAAACTATCAAGGTTTTTGGTTGTATGGTTGAGAATTTTTCAAGCATGAAAGATTATACTGAAAGCTGTTCGACGGCATCTATCGACAGAAATTTCTTTTTATATCCTTTAATTCTGACTGGATAAATAGAATTTTTCATGGCGATTGGTAGCTGGGGTTCTCCACTTTTTGACAATATAAATTGATCAAAACTTCGATTTTTATTTCCTGATCAAATCTCGCAAAAATATCAAAACATACACTTTGACCATTTTTTGTCACAACAGATTAAATTACAGCTACTAAAGACTATTTACAAGCTAACTCAAATTTCTTTTTTTTGCTTGATAGAGTAAAGAGAGAGAAACATTTTTATGAAAAAGGAAATATCAAAAGTATTCAAGATCAAACAAAAAAGTAAAAATGAAACAGATAGGTAGCTATTATCGCACTAAATGTCACGACAGATTTTTAATTTTGATTCTTTGATTTCTCGCTGACTATAAGCGGATAGTCAATGTTTTTTTTTATCTTTTTTGACTGGCTTTATGGCGCATCTGTGGTAAAAATTTGAGCTCTTAACTAAGTATCGTTCACGAGAAAATAGTATTTTAGTCAAAAAATGTCACAACAGATTTTTTCGTATCAAAATGTCACAACAGATTAAAATGATAGATATTCAGAGAAAAAAAAAATTTATTTAGTTTTCTTTCACTTGTCATAACTTGAATTGACTAAGCGACGTTTTTAAATATACTCCTGAGGATCCTTAATGCCTTGAACGACCGAAAGTTCTGCCTTTTTCTCATTTACTACCATGTAAAATGCTTATATGCTCTAAGAAACTTAAACTGTTCATAAAAGCGGGTATCTGATCATCTACAAATCTAAACATTTTTTTATTTGGTTTCAGATTAAGTTATTGCTTTCAAGATGAGAGGGAAGAAGAAAAAGGAAAATAATAATGCTACATATTGCCAAAGATATCGTCAGAAAATTCAATTAAAACGTTTACAATCAAAACGTTTTGATAAAAACTACAGAAAATATACAGCAGCGAGACAAGCATTATATCGAACAAAGAAGAAACAACAACAAGAACAACAAGCTATACAACCAACATCAACAATTACAGTATCAAAAAGTGATCTTCGAAAGGGTGAAGGTATCCAACGTCGTCGTCAAAACACAAAAAAATTTAAATTAGAGATAAATAAATTACAAAATTCCAATAAACAATTACAAATGGAAAATAAGAAATTGAAAGAACAACTAATCTGTTTAACATCATCATCATCATCATCATCATCATCAACAACAACAACAACATTATCATCGTCATCCAAACAATCAAATGCAGATAGTACAACAACTATATCACCATCAACACTTTTTTTTCAAAATCTTAGTCCAAATGCTAAACGTCATGCTAAAGCACGTATGGTTGCACAAAACTCGGATTTACCTCGTGGTAGTAATAGTAGTATTCGGAATAAGTTTGGAATCAATGTAAGTTGTGGATTACTTTATCCCTCTTCTATTATTTAGAAGTGTTTATTCTTTAGTTGTCCCATCAAAATGTATCATCCACAAGAACGACAACTGTATCAAGAGAACTTGCGGATGCTGTCGAACAGTTTTTGAATAATGATGAGAACACACGATTAACACCAGATAAAAACAAAATCATCGATGGTAAACAAGTACGATTTTTGTTAAATCATCTCATAAACCTTCATCAAAAGTTTATTTTGGAAACAAACTATGATTGTTCGTATTCAACTTTCACAAGACATGTACCATCCTACATTGTTTCACCTAAACCAAATGAATGGGGTAGTTGTCTATGTATAACCTGTTTGAATCCACAAATTAAATCGGAAAGAATTCACCAACTGAAAAATAATCATCCTATTTTGAATTTTTTGTCGTCGTTGATGGCAAACGACTTAACAACAATAGCTAATGATGAAAAGAAAGTCGAAGAGATATTGAAAGAACTGAATTTATTAAAAGCAGAATCTTTTTTGGTAACTTATGTGGAATGGGTTCAGAAGAAAAGTGCTAGAAGTAGTGGTCTGATTTCAACGAAAACAACTATGACAGATAAACTGAATGTATTTTGTACGAAATTTAGTGATGAAATATCTGTGAGTATCTTTAAAGAAAAGTTGAACAAAGGCAACAATCTCTTGTTGCTATCTATATAATGTTTAGAAACTTCAAAAGCATATGGAACTAGTTTATGCTCAATTTAAAAGCGCTAAATTAATTCGGCAATCAGCACTCACAAGTGACAATGTCATCACCTTGCACATAGATTGGTCAGAGAATTATAATTTAAAACAAGCAAGAGAAGAGCGTTGTAAGTTACGATGAAAACTTAATGCGCTTTAGCACTAATTGAATTTTTTTCTATTTAGCTGCATACTACTATGAACAACATGTCTCTATAGCAGCAGGATATGTTTGGCGAAAAGACAACTGTTTTAGTTTTGGATGTTTATCTGATGATACAAGTCATCTGTCAGAAAGTACATGGGCGGCAATTCATGATTTATTGGATGAGTTATTAAGTGGAAAAGATCTTAAACACATTACTGAGTTGAATATAATATCTGACTCTCCATTAAGTCAATATCGAAACAAAACTACGATTTTCTTTTTAAAATATTATGCTACTAATAGAAAAATTACGACGAGATGGTTGTTTTTGGCTAGTGGTCATGGGAAGGGTATAGCTGATGGTATCGGCGCTACTATTAAGCGGTTATTTGATAATGCAGTTCGATTAAATCCAGATGAATCATTTAAAGGTGCTGAAGATTTAATGAGTAAAATAAAGAATTCGACAAATATTCGCCTGTACTTATATAAAAAAGAAGATATTCATTCATTAAGAATGCAAATTCCATCATTAAAATCAATTAAAGGAACGTCAAAGTTTCATGAAATTATTGTTAAACCAAATGGAGAAATATTTACAAAAAACAAGTCAGATGAAACAGAAACTTTGATACACACAACCTTTTAGATTTTGAATTAATAGTCAAAACATTTAGTGATTTGAATGAACAGTTTTATACATGAAACATGAACAATGGTTAACTTGGGTATTTTTTTTTATAGTAAACGTTGTTTCTTTTCTCGAAAACAAGCATTGATATTGATAAAGATTCTGCTTCTCATTGATATCGCGAAACAATGTTACCACGCACTTAGTTCTAGAGGGCGTTCCTTGAAAAATATGCGTTTTTAATGATAACAATTATATTATACTATCACAAACGCATGAATACATGTGAATAAAATTATGCTTATGAGCCATTCCACGTAAGGCACGACCGATTCTCAATAGGGACGCTCAATCGAAGTTCTCTGATTTGGTTCGTTGTTATATATGTGATGGAGCAAAGTGTTTGAAGCATTTTGACGCAAGCCGATTGAAAAAATATTGAGCCGTTCGTTTTTTATAGCCATTTTACTGAAGGCACTATTAAATCAGTGAAAAACGCATTTTCACGAGAAGCGATTTTCAGCACCCTAAAACTTCAAGAAAAGAGCAACTGATTAAGGTAAAATCTTTTTGTCTATAAACAACTAATCAAGTTGTACGTATGCCAGAAATTTCAGTTCAATTAGTTGAAGCCTTGGTATTTTATGGATTCCACAATTTGAGGAAAAATCAATTTTTCAAGAAACTTTTGCTGTTTATATCTCGTGATTAGCAAATGATAGAGAGCTGAAATTTCGAACATAAGTACATCTTGTTACTACCTAACTACCATATAAATTTCAGCTTGCTAGAGTAAAGTAATCGTCCACAATACCTGGAGCTAAAAAGAATTTTTTCGTCAAAATGTCGATTTTTTACCTCGATTTTCTCCTAAAAGAAACCCTAGTTTTTTAATCGGTGTATGTGTAATTAAAGACCATACTTTGGTCTACAGCCGACTATAAAAATCAACGTGGGACACACATGGGTTGTGGAGAAATCAATCAATCTTTTTTGAAAAAATGAATCCTTTTTGTCAAAATGCCGCTTTTTGAGCTCGATTTTCTCTCAAAATATACTTCAGATTTTTTGTTCATCTATCCAGTGTGAAAGCCCACATCTTGTTTTACAAGCTCCTTTGAAAATCAACTTGGGGCGTGCCTCGGTTGTGATGATATTAAGCGATGCTTATTGGAAAAAAAAAACTTTTGAAACTGCACTATTTAGACTCGAAGTTTCCTGAATATTTCAAGAATGGTTTGACTGAGAATGTCCAAACTTTTAGAGATGATACATCTCACATAGCTAGAGGGTCCGAAATGGAGAGAATCTCAAAATGCAACAATCGAGGATTTGCTTGAATTCCATTGGTTCAAAACG